GCTTACTTGAGTTTTAAAGTCTTTGTTAAGGTAAGAGTCTGCTTCCAAAGTGGAGAGTGTACTGTCCCAAGCTTCAGGGGTTTGTATAGCTGTTTTCAGAGATACTTGTAGGGACATGTAAATTTTCAGTTCTTCCAAGGTGGTATGATAAGGGGCAAGGTGTTTACTCCTTTCCTGGCCTGTGACCACAAATACTCCTTTCTGTCCTGTAACTGTGAGGAGGGGTTTCTCTCCACAGACACTATAAGCTCCTCCACACCAGCACTCCTCCTTACCCCAGCACTGCCACCCAGAACTGTGACCCAGATCCAAACATGGGTAAAGCAAGAGATTCCTGCCTCAGCACTGGCAAACAGATCCCTGCAATCCCTCGCTGATCAGCCACTGGATTCCCCCTCAGTCTGTGGGCCAGACGCTCGGGAAGCAGCTGCCCCCACCCAGGGCCACGCTTTTGGGGAATTGAGCTGAAACCCCTCCTTCCTCTCTAAGCACCATAGAAACAGACTTTTCCCACTGACCTTCTAAGTTGTCTTTAGCATTTGTGGATTGAGGAGTCTGGAAACTGCCACAGCTGCCAGTGATTCAGTCCTCTGAGGCCTGCTCCAGATTTGCTGTGGCCTGTGCTCCCAGCGCGGTGTGATACACCTTTCTGATCAATCTTCCAGGTTGTCTTGGGCTGGAAATTTGTTTCACTCTGTCTTTTTATGGGTTCTGATGCTTCAGAATTTGTTTAGAGCCATTTTTTATGAGTATTTGAAGGGGTTTGGGGGAGAGCTCAAGCAAGTCACTGCTTTCACTCTGCCATCTTGGCTCCGCCCCTTCCTAAGCTTTTATTCTCTACAGTGTAACTTAATTGGAAGTTCTTTTCAAAATACTTTTAAAAATTTCCACCAGGGTTATCTGAGTCTGCATTAAAACACCTTCCATCTTCATCCTCACCTGTTCCCTGCCATCAGCAGGTTCAGGAGCCATAAAACATCTGTTCCAACAAGAGTTGTTCTAACCATTTGCACCATGCAGAGCCTATTTCGTATGGCTTGTACTATAGCCTGTTTTGTTGTGGCAGGAACATTTGTAGCGTCCCTGGAGTGAACATCACAAACAGCTTTCATCAGATTTTGAAAAGAACTCATTTTGTCATCAAATCCATATTCCTGCCAAAGTCCCCAGGTGGTATTGCTAAAGTGTGACTCTGGGCCAGGCTACTTCATTCCATAACAGCTGAGGCTTGATCAAAATAGGCGGCAGATGTCACCATAGACATCAATGGAATGCTCTTTGCAAGCAAACAGTGCTACCCTTCGCCACTCGAATAGCTCTTTAAATTGATACAGAATGGATTATTCAATGGTGTCATCACTCTAGCTTGTAAACAGTTCTTCTGGACTCTCCATCTATAAATACCAAGTTGACTCTGAATATCAATTCTGTCTCAAATCATTCTGCCTTTTATTTCTTAATGTATTAAATTCTTCTCTGTGCCTCAATTATCACTAAGTAAAAATTTGTGCAGGGAAAGTGACCCTTTAAGGCCCCCAAGTGGTTTAGTGCTGCAGGGCACCCACCCAAAGCACTCCAGGAAGTTATAGAATCACTGGGCACAAGGACCAATTACTCCATGCTGGCAGATCCGCGGACTGACAAGACCCCCATAGCCAAGGAGCATGATAAAATGGAAAGGGCACTGGCCTGGGAATCAAAACACCCAGTGCATCACAGTACAAGTTCACCTATGAACTAACTCCATAATGTTGGTCAAGTATAATAGTAATAATAATAATATTGATGATGGATCTATATTTTAAGATTTATACTTCAAGATTTATGAACTGATTTCCTTATAGCAATCCTGTGGGACAGATAAGAGAGGTGTGGTTATTTTCACCTATAAAATGAAAGAGTTGAACTAGATAATCCCTAAGATCTCTTCTGGAGCCAACATCCTTTTATTCTACACAAATGTGTATACACTGGCCGTGGGATGCCCCAATTCCTACCCATTGATTCTAAAGAAAGAGGGACAGGGTTGGAATGGGTAAGTAAAGTTGGCAGCCACCTACTGTGAAATAGGAAGAGGTTGGAGTAGCAACAGAGATTTTATTCTTAACGGTTCATAAGGCTCAATCTTTGTAATAAAACAAGTCATATATGTAACAGTGAGTGAAGGCTTAAAGCTTCCAATGACACACAAAAGACAGATTTTTACAATTTTGTCCAGGAGACCCAGATGATTTGTCCTAAATCTCTTTAATGGCCATTTACTTCCCTTCCCCATCCTGACCTTCCTGGGATGGAAGGGCAGGCCCGGGTGATCTATTCCAACCCATAGGTAGAATAGTGTGTTCTTTTTAGAATCAAGTCGATATCAGAAAGTTTCAAACCCTAGAAGGGATTTCTGATAAACACCAGGGAAGTTGTGAAGAATCTGGACAAGCTTTCTTTCTTCTTTCTTTCTTTTCTTTTTTTTTTAACAGCTCCTTTCCCTGCCCTATCAAAACACACACACACACACACACACACACACACACACACACACACACACACACTTAAAATTACTATGGAATATTATGATTCCTTGATCTTTACCCCCATGGGACTCATCTTGATGGCCCCATAGCCTCAGTTGGTACTAATCTCTGAACCTGAAGACCCAGAATCATTACATATCATTCCCAAATGGTACTTACTATGTTAACTATGCCCTCACACTAGAGCACTGCATCAATTGTCCCACAAACATGTAGGACATGCTGGGTTTAGAAACACCCATAAACATGAGCCACCTGCTCTCCTGACCACCTTCCTATAAGCCTAGACATACCCGCAGAGAACACTAACATGCCTAGGGAAGAAAACAATCAGGCACCCAAGCCCAACACAGTTATGCCACCCTCAAGCAGCTAGAGCCCTCCCTGCCTTCTCCTTACTCTCACTTTACATGTCACCATCCTGTTGCTACAGAGTGAAGGCTAATTAGAAAACAGCAATGCTTGAATTTCTTTTTCTCCTTCAGAGACAGCTAAGTAGTAAAGTGGATAGAATTCTGGGCATGGAGTAAGGAAGACCGGAGTTCAAATCCAGCCCCAGACACTGGGTGACCTTGAGCAAGTCTTTTAATCTCTGTTCAGTTCCCTCAGATGTAAAATGAAGATAATAACAGCACTGACCTCCCAGAGTTGTTGTGAGGATCAAATGAGATAATATCTGTAAAGCACTTAGCACAGTACCTGGCATATACTTGGTGCTTAATAAATACTTATTTCCTTTCCTTTTCCCTTCCCCTTATGTATCCTGGTTGATCATAGGTCACGTGATAATTAAGGCCTGAATTCAGGTAATAATGGTGGAAATATTGAGGAAGAGATGAATATGGACATAGTAGATTCAACAAGACTTGATACTTGAGAGGACAAATGTAACATAACATTAAAAATTCAAACTTGAGAGGCAAGGTCATGATACTGACAAAAGCAGTTCATTCAGAAAGCACAAGTTTATGGGGGAAATGATTTGGTTTTGAGGTACACAAAGGACATTCAGGTAGAGTTCTGAGTCTGTAAATTAGGAGAGAAGCAAGTCAAATGATATAGATTAGCTAATTATAAAATTAATTTTATATATGTCTTATGATTTACAAGAGTACTTTATAAACATCACTTCATTCAGTGCTCACAGCAACACTTTGAGGTAGGTAGAACAAATAGTATTGTCCCCATGTTAGAGATTAGTAATTAGAGTTCAGTGGCTTGATCAAATAACACAGCTATTGAGTAGCAAAGCCAGGGCTGAAGCCCATGTCTCCTGCCCTCATCCAGTGCCCTTTCTATTTAATAATCACTACTAGGCTACAGAAGGAACTCTTTTCCACCTTGGCTGTGTTGTACCAGTCTAAGCTGTGTTCTGCCCTAGGAGTGCTTGATCCTAAGATAACCATCCTGCCATCAGAACTGCAAAGGACTTTTGCTATGGCCCTACTGGATCCCATTCTCCCGGGCAAGAGGGAACTTGAGCTTTGCCTTAAACTTTGAAGGAGTTTATTAAAACTTTGAAAAGAGTTTTATTATTTATAGAAAATAAGTAAAGCATCTGGCTTGTGTGTTTGGAGAACTCTGGTTTCTCAGCATGCATGTAGGGATGCAATAAAGTAAAACACTTAACTCTATGCTCTATGGATTTAAATCTACAGTTTCAGTGGATTCCAAAGACCAGGGTTCAAGTCTTGACTACTATTTATGAGCTATGTGACCTTAGTTATTTAAAATAATAATAATAATAAGTATTTATATCACATTTTAAGGCTTGAAAAATACATATCCCATTTGATTTTCACACCAATTTTGTGAGGTAAGTGCCATTGTTATCTCCATTTTACAAATTAGGAAACTGAGACTGAGAGTAGGTAAGTGACTTGCTCAGTGTCATGTAGATAGTAAGGGTGTGAAGCAGGATTTTTACTCAAATCCAGGATTTCAAGTTCAGCACTCTATCTACTATGCCACCTAGTGGCCCAAGCTCTCTTATGCCATATGCTTCAGCTTCACGACCTCTGAAATTTCTTGTGCAGAAAGTATTTACAAAGAAGCCTTTGTAAAGACAAGTTATAAATAACATATTATAATTAGAAGTCATTATTATGTAGTTATTGATAAAGATATTGATAAACTCTGATAAACACTTATTTAAAAACTAAAAGTAACAATGTCAAACATAGTACAAAGAAGTAATTTGATATATGTTATTCCATTGCAGATGAAACCCATTTGTAAAGTTGACAAGGAATCTAAATTTTAAAAATGTAACCAAAATTAGTTACAAATTAAAAAGTGTCAATTTGATTAAAAGATGTTTTCCTTTTCCTTGCAGAATTTTTACCCTGTCCTAAGCTTAATGATCTTGCTTGATCAAATGGGATTGTCTAAGAAAACACATTCATTTAAAACTTTTTATGCCTTATGGAACATTTTCCAATTTACTGATCTTTTCTTTTTCCTCTTGAATAGGACTTGTATCATCAGTCCTATGACTGTGTCTGTGTCATGTTTGCCTCTATTCCGGATTTCAAAGAATTTTATACAGAATCAGATGTCAACAAAGAAGGCTTGGAGTGTCTTAGACTCCTGAATGAGATTATTGCTGACTTTGATGATGTAAGTGCTAATGTATGTGAGAAATGAACTGTATGGATACAATAGGAGACCATATCTTCTTTCTACATATGAAATTAGAATTATATTTTAAATAAAATCAATAGGTTTGGAGTGAAAGGAGGGCACCATTGTAGAATTTCTGATGACCAACATTGTATTTTCCTGCTGGAAGTGATTGGTGTAGTCCACTAACCTAAATTTAGCCACATTGCTATGACAGGATATAGATGTGCATTTTATCATCAGAGTTAATAGGATTATTTTCATCCACCATCAAAAGCTGCCACACCAAGAATGTTAAATATGCTGTAAATGCCAATGAAATTTCTAGAAAGGCATGAAACTCAAGGAAAATTTTCTGATGGTGGCTTTACATGTAAAAGGATAATAAACATATTCTTCACTTTAGGCACTTCTCTGATCAGGATGTATATTCAAAAATGATTAAGTGATTTGTTGGATTCCATCTTGAAGCCTATATCCAGAACTACCATCTGCTCTTTAAAATAAAATTAAATCCTGTTCCTTAACTCATCTTTTTATTATAGAAGGTACAGTGCAAGCTTCCTTTCTACAAGTGTATGGATTTCAGAATTCAAAATGTCACGTGTTCTGTTCTACATTCATTACATTATCTGAATACGAAAAAATATGTTGATGTTCCATTATGATTATATATAAAATGAGGAAAATGTGACATTCATTGGAAAGTTTTATCTAATAAGTCATAGACACATTTTCGTATGAAATAATGTATTTAGTCAGCAAATCTTCCTCGATCATCACTTCCCTTTTTTCCCCCCAGATGTCTTACATATCTACTTTCTTTCTCCATCACTGGAAAATTAGCCTTGGAAAGTTTCAGCTATAGTAATAGACTCCAACCTATTTTATAGGATCTTCTTTGGAAACCAAATCTGCTGAATGTTGTAATAGATACACAGCAATATACAGTGGACTATGTAATATAGTGAGAAACCATGGAGTAATGTATGTCCTTCTCTTCCTGGTGCCATGAAATTTATGGTGAATAATATGGTACATGTAAGATGCAGGATTTGAACTCAGGTCTTTCTAACTCCAAGTCCAACAAGCTATTCATTATGCCATCTAGCTAAGGCCAAGAGAAATTACATGACTTTCCTGACATCACACAGCTAATAAGTGACAGAGCTGGGATTCAAATCTTAGTCTTATGACTCCAAATCCAATATCCTTTCCACTGTCTCATTCTTTGTACAGATAGAAAGAGATATACAGACAGAAATGTAGATTTAGACAAAGATAGGCATATATAGTCTCTCTAGAGAACGGGCAGATGTAATGTTACCAATATAAATGAAAATTGCCTCAATATAATATAAATTATATTTAATTATGCTTCCAGTAATTCTATTAAGAACCTAATACCCATTTCCAAGGCTTCTTACAGTGAGGATAATTGGATAGAATGAAGGATAAAAGGGATGAAGAAGGGGACATATTCCATTTCTTCTGTTGGCATATTCAACTCCATTCTCCCATTTCTGAACAAAAGTAAATCATTTCATATCCCCTCCTACTTCACTTTCTCCTCTTCCTTTCTCTTCCCCTCCTCACCCATCTTTTCACTTTCCTTTCTGTTTCTGCTTATTTCTTAAACTATGCTCTTACTTCAACCATTTTGTATTACATTATTCTGACTATATGGGGCAGCTAGGTAGTACAGTAGATAAAGTCCTGGACCTGAAGCCAGGAAGACTCACCTCCTGAGTTCAAATCTGGCCTTAGACTCTTAGTAGTTGTGTGACCTTGGATAAGACACTTAACCCTGTTTGCCTCAGTCCCTCATCTATAAAATGAGCTGGAGAAGGAAAGGGTAAATAACTCCAGTATCTTTGCCAAGAAAGCCCCAAATGGTGTCAGGAAGAGTCAGCCATGACTGAAATGAATGAACAACAAAATTTTGACTACATGCGTAATGATCAACTATCACATGTAAACTTTTTATTTATGCAAAGCACCATGTTTTTAAGAAAGTTAGTAATGCTATTTATAACCAAGAGTCATGAGAGTTACTTGGAGCTATCATTAACTGGCTTCAGTATTTATCTTGATTCCATGACTACCAAATTCTGAAAGATATTTCATGTCAATTTGAAAACAACTACTCTACTTCTCTCCAAAAAAACACTCGTCATGAATGTAATCTATTAAACGTGTTCCCTCTTACTGAGGGAAAGGCCTAAGGTAAGCAAATAGCCACTGAAAACAAGTTCACATTGCCATGAACTGTGTATTTAGAGTGCTGCTAACACATTCAAACTTGGGTCAGTGCAAGCCTGAGTAATTGAATAATCGTTATTTATTTCTTCATAGTTGCTGTCCAAACCAAAATTTAGTGGAGTCGAAAAGATCAAGACCATTGGAAGCACTTACATGGCTGCCACAGGACTGAGTGCCACACCCAGCCAAGAGCACACACAGGTACAGCACAAATATAAACACCATGATGACAAATGTGATTGTACATGCACTCTTTATGGTCTTTCACAAAGAATTAGAACACGTCAGGACAAACCCTTCCTAATCATACAGAAACCTGACTCCTGAGGTTGTGTTTACACAACTGACTCTCATTCACTTTGTCAAGTTGATGATTACCCAGATTCATAAGACTGTTCTCCCTTTTTCTTATGGCCAATTTGGCATTCCCCGAGGCTTCAAGAACACAGTAGATGGGGAAAAACTGCTTTCTACATGAAGTCTTTCCTGAGCCCCCAGTTACTAGTACCTCTCCTCTAAATACATTGTATCTATTTTGCACTTAGATATGTGCAGAAATTGTTTCATTGTCGTCTTTGTAGACTGTTTAGCCAGCAGTGTCTGACCCACAGTAGGTGCTTAATAAATGCTTGTTCATTGATTGATTGTTTATTCCTCTTCTTCCTCTTGCCTTTTTTCTTTACACACTCTCCTTTAATTGTATCACTGGCTTGCAAGGTTTCAACTATCACCTGTATACAGATGACTATCAAATCTACATCTTCATCTCTAATCTCTATCTAGTTCCAGTTCCACATTTTTTTTTTTGGTTTGTTTTTGCTAGACAATGGGGTTAAGTGACTTGCCCAGGGTCACACAGCTAGTAAGTGTCAAGTGTCTGGTCTGAGACTGAATTTGAACTCAGGTCCTCCTGACTCCAAGGCCAGTGTTCTATCCACTGTGCCACCTAGCTGACCCTTGTTTTACATTTTTAATTGCCTGTTAGACATTCCTACCTGGTTACCACTGTATATCACTTCAAATTTATTATGTTTAAAACTGGTCCTTACCTTGCCCACAAAATTAGCTGTACCTCCTGCCTTTCTTACTTCTTCTATCAGTTTCCTTATTCTCTTTGTTACTGAGGTTAAATCTCAAAGTGTCCTTTGTTTTCTCTTTCCACAACCTCATAGCCATCATCCTTCAGTGTCCAGGAAACTTTTGCACCTACCTAGATGACTTTAACATTTGTCTCATGTTTTTCCTCTCCACCCCATCTCCTGAGATCATTGGCAACTTCAAAATACAAAGTAATGACCCCTTTGACACTCTGAGCTAACTGTTCTTCATCCATCTCAGTTCCACTGATGTTCGTTTCCATTATACTTGAGTGGTCAATTGGTAAGGCCACTCCCTGGATTGACTATATCATCAATCACTGCTTCTTTGCCCTCCAAAATCTTAAGCTTCATGTTCCCTCTCTACAAATACTACCTCTTTACCTAGCAATTGTCGCCTCTGCCTCACACAATTTCACAATGAACTCTATTCCCTTGACCCATTCTACTTCACTAAGTATATTGACCCCCATCTGGTTTCACCTGACTCCCTACACAGTCTAGTCTTTTCAATAGTTGCCCTCACCACTACTGTTTTCTATCCTAGTCCTTTCACAGTGCCTATTCTGCTGGTCTCCAATCATGCATAACCACCATGTATACCTATGCTCATATGTACAGAACACATCACCTTTGCCAGTATACCCAGTCCACACTCTATGCTCATCCACACCCAAACTTAATGTTTTATTACCACAAAACATTACTTAGGAGGATGACCATGCCATGCTACTAAATACACACTCAAATATAACTATAAAGCTAAATCTCAATTCTATAGATCTTCCTCTCTCTTACCACATCTTACCTATTAACCAAGTGCCAATATCCAGTCTAAAGACTCAGCAGGAATAGTCCTTTCAGGGATTCAGGGACCCTTCTCTACCTCTCCCTGTTGGCTCATTGCCAAAATACCAAAGGCACACAAGATGCCAGTGGCATTGAAGGCAGACCTCAGGGAACTCATTCTCTCCTCATCAACTCCTGTTGCCTACCTTCCGTACTATACCAATTCCCCACCTGCCTATCCCTACCCCTCCATGAGTCAACCCAAATTTGTTATGCTTCAACTCTTGGTTCCACCCCTTCCCTTTCCAACAGTCATCTGTCAGAGATCATTTTCATTACTGTCCAGAGTCTACCAGGCCCAACTATATGCCTTGTAGATTTTCCCTCTATACCCCTAAGACTTTCCATGTGCCCTAAACATGAACCCTCCTATATGTGTTGCCTCTCAATTCAAAAGTGAATTCCTTGAAAGTAGGGATTGTCTTGCTTTCTTATTTGTATTGCCAATGCTTAGCATAGTTTTTAGTACAGAGTAAACATCAATAATCAATGTTTTCTCTTCCATTCCCCTAAGTTTTCACTGATGCTTTCAAGTCTTTTTATTCTACTTTTGTCCATCCTTTAGAATACTCCTCATAATGACTTTCTTAGACTTTCTTCTCTTTCCCCAAGCTCCAAACTTTACTCGGCCTCATTATTGACTAATGGTTTTGTGCCCTACTAAGAATGAAGCCTTTAGACATGAGATTCCTAAACTGGCTCCTCCTCTATCTTAAAATAGATCTTTAGATATATCCATATGTTCATGGTTCCCTTAAGTCTCAGAGGAAAAGGTGACCTTTCTAAGGTTAACAGCATGTTTAGAATTAAGTTAGATCCTTAATTTACCCCTAAACTTGATACCAACTTTGTGATAACAGACTCTGCCCTGATGGCTGGAAAGAATATCCTGCTCGTGGTAAACTTCAATTCGCTGTACTATGGGGAGAAGAGACATATGAGCTAAATGCAGCATGTTGGCAAAAGTCAAGTAGTTAGATCAAGCACTATTAGATGAGGGACAAGTGTTTAATGTCCATTGACCTAGGGAATTGCCTATCCAATAACAAAGAACAGATGGGTGGACAAGCATAGGGCATAGGATCAAAGTAGATGTTCAGTCTGAAAGGAGACCTACCAATGGAAACAGAAAGGGAATGATTCAGGCTCAGAGAAGCACCAGAAAGGGATAGCCTCTGGTCTCAAGGTCAAAGAGCCTGATGTCAATTTAGGACAATAGATACATAAGACAATTTAACAACGAAGGGCCTAACCAGACACTACAATATGGGTAGAAAAAAATTCTTGAAGCAGATGTGTTTCCACTGCACATTGCCATTTTCTCTTCAGAGTAGGGTACATCAGAAACTTTAGATCCTTGGGCAAAGCCATAGCTCCAGGTAGACAACTGAGAGGGACAAATAATTAGAAGCAATGCATATAATAGAAAAGGAAGCAAAAATCTGAAAGGAAAAAAAAACTCTAACTTTCCCCAAAAAAAATCAATATTAAGCCAGTTACTATTATCTCTAAGTCAAGGAGTCTTAGATGTTAAGGGGTGCATTGACTTGGATGGGAAAAAGCTATACATATATACATACATACATATACACACACATCTTTATTTTCTCTAACCTCTGACTTTGAATTTTCTTCAATTATGCATTTTGTAAGAACAAAAGGCAAAATACTCCACAGGTTTCATCATCAAAGGGATCCATGACACACAAAAAAATTAAGAACCTCATACTCTAAGCAGTCACATACAAAACTACCATGCCCAAAGCACACTGACAATGAGTCCCATTCTACTAGTAAATTGAAATAAAAAAAGACTATGTAGACAAACTACTTTTGAATATTTGTGGTATATGTTTTAAAATCTCAGAGGAAAGTAAAAGGAATGTAGTAAACATTTCAAATAGCTATGAAACAATTTTTATTGCTATTTTCTTTATTTAACTTACCCATTGTTTTCTCAATGTAGAAGGATCTTTGGAAATAAGATTTTTTAATTAAATTTTTTTAAAGTATGTTAGAGAAATAACTAAGGTGAGAAATAAATTGATGACAGAAATGGAATTGTGTAAATGTTTTATAATTGTTTAATTTTGATGACTGTACAATCTGAAATTCTTTTTTGTCAATATTTATAAAAATGTAAAACCTTGTTTTACTTTTAGGGAAGTGTGGAGGAAGGGAAGATGATTTTATTTTCACATATTGAGTTTGAGAAGTCAATGAAATATCCAGCTGGAGATGTTTAACAGGTGATTGGCACTGCTGGTAAAAGATGAGAGAGAGAAAAAGAGAGACAAAGAGAGTTAGAGAGGAGAAGGAAGGAAAGAAGGAAGGAAGGAAGAAAGGAAGGAAGGAAGGAAGGAAGGAAGGAAGGAAGGAAGGAAGGAAGGAAGGAAGGAAGGAAGGAAGGAAGGAAGGAAGGAAGGAAGGAAGGAAGGAAGACAAAAGGTAGAAAAAGACATATACACACACACACACTTGCACAAGCTATACACGCACAAACATACACACATATGTGGGAGTCATTTGCATGGAGATGATAATTTAATTCAAGGAAGCAGCTAAGAGTATAGAGAGGAGAAGTGAGTCCAGAACTGATGTTTGGGAGACACTCCTACTTGAGATGGGAAATGGAGGGGAAATGAGGTATTGTAGATAGAATGCTTAACTTAGAATCAAGAGGACTTGGATTAAAATCCTACTTCTGCCACTTCCACATGTGTGACCATGGGAAAAGTCACTTAATCCCTTAGTTTTCTCAGCTATAAAATTGGGATTACAGTAACTATAGTGCCTACTTCATGGGATTGCTCTGAGACTCAAATAAGCTAATACATTAAAAGAGCTTTACAAACTTTCAAGTACTTGAGAGATGTCAGTGATGCATCAGCAAAGAAATCTGCAAAATAGCCAGAGCTATCAGACAACAAATCACAGGTCCCTAATGCATTGACATATACAATTACCTGTGATAAAAGTCATTGGAAGGAACTGAATTTCGATTTTTGACCCCTAGCAATAACACCAGGTGCATGATCATGAGCAGTTCATTAAACTTCTTTCCCTATTTCCTTTCATCTTTAAATTAGGAGTGATAAAATAGTTTCATTAGTTCCCTCACAGAGTGACAAGGCTCAAGGTGAACTATTATAAGTAAATATTTTATAAACTTTAAGGTGTGATGTCAGTTACTCTTATTGTTGCCATCATCATTATTAGATTCCCTATGAAAAACATAAAATAAGTTCTCCAAGA